GTTCTCTGGGCTGGGGTTGGGGCGTGTTTACTGGGAGCCAGGCGCTGTGATACATGCTTTACACACTTTATTTCATTTAATCCTCAAGACGGCCCTAAGAGGGAGGCACTTTTTCTTCCCATTTCACAGGGGAGGAAATTGAGGCCCAGGGAGGCTAAGCAGTGGCTGCAAAAGGCTTGGCATGGCACTTTGCAGACCACAGCTGGATATACGCGGTGTCTTCAAGACCTTGGGCCTGAGGCAGTAAAGGGGGGTGGAGAGACTCTGCCTTGGAGTCGAGGTCAGGTTGCAGCCACATCCTCATGACCCTGTGCACGTGCAACTCAGACTGTGGTACCTGAGGGGTCCTCGCAGCACACTGAGGCCTTGGTCTGGGAACTTCCCCTTGTAGGGGGGAGCCCCAGCAGGGGCCCCCAAGAGACAGGGAAGCAGCCAGAACCTTGTCCTTGCAGTTTTTACAGAAGAGCATGTTCACTTTAAAAAGTACCAAAGTGGCAAAAAAAAGTACCAAAGCGACCTCAGTAGCCTGGTAGTCCAGAGGAACAGTAAAGATGCTGGAGGAGTGGAAAGTAGGGCTTTTGAGCAAAAGGGGACAGCAGTGGTAGCACAGGCCCAGGAAGGCAGTTTTTCTCATGGAGGGCGTGTGTCATAGTAGGTCAGTTGGAGGGATGCTCAGAGATAATCCAGTCCAGCCCCTCACTGTGGGAGCCACACCATACCCCTTTGAAGATGCGGGTTCCCCGCAGCATTGGAGGATGGAACCAGAAGGGACTTCCCTTAGAGCTGGAGCAGCCTGCACTAGCCAGAGAGCATCCCGGTGACAGTAGAGGCGGGTGCTGCGATGGACCGGCTCCACACTTGGCCCTGTTCTACCATTGGCTGCAGCCACACTGGAGTTGCTGCAGGGGCCTTGCCCCCAAGCCTTTTTGTGCTGCTTTCCTCATCTGTAAAGTGGGTAGATAGTGATCTCTATCTTGTGTGGCTGCTGTGAGGGTTAAATGAGATAGTCCACTCCAGGTGGGAAGCGAGGTGCCTGGCACATAGTAAATGCTCAATAAACACTAACTCATTTCTCTCATTCTGGCCATCTTCAGGAATATCAAAACAACTCTGCCCTGCATGGCTTAGAACAGCAATTTTTTTTTAAACTAGAGAATAATCATAGATTATTTTCAGAAAAGAATGAGGCCAGAGTATAGTTTGAAAAAGCAGAGTCAATATTTTATGTTGGGAAAATGAAAACAATGTCTAATGGTGAAATACATACTATAGCACAAGTAGCTTTCAGGACATGGGATTCAGAGTGTGAGAAACATGGTTTTCATCATTTGGGGTCAGTGGCCTCATAGAAGGAAAGCCACCTCCTTGTCCCCTTGAGGTGCGTGTGAGGGCCTCAGAGCAGGCCAGTGATGGACATCTTCAAAGTGCAGGTGCCACTGGGAAAATGGAGCCATGGAGGGTTTTACTAGCAGTGGATTGTGCCTTCCCGCTGCCTGGGGTCCACAGCATGGAGACGACCAAAGGTGGGATGGCCTGGAAAGCAGATTGTCCATTGTAGAATTGGATGCCTGGTTTAAAAGATGCTTCCCAGTTTGTTCTCAGGGACCAAGTGAGGGGACAGTAGCCAGGTCTGCGACAGCCCTGGAACCTGCTGGGCAGACCTGGATGGATGGCCAGCTCCCACGGCCTGGCTTGGGTTGAGGGTTCTGGCCATCTTTTCATGGGTTTCTAGTGGTGGGGAGCAGCCTCCAGTGAGCCTTGACAGACCTTGAACTAGCCGTGGTTTGTGGGGTCTTTGGGATTTGGGGTCGTTGGTCACCTGGCTGTCAGAGCTGAAGCCAAATGAAGTGCCATTTTCATCCCTTTGTCTCCATGGAACCTTCGAGGCCCTGGCTCCAGCATCTATCCTGCAGCTGGTGGCTCTAAGATCATAATACCTGCGTTTATTGAGCACTTGTACTGGGCAGTATGCTGAGTGTGTCATCTCATTTAAACCTTGTGACTATCCCCAAAGCTAGGTTCTACCATTAACTCCATTTCACCGATGAGTAAGTGGAGGCCTAGGAAGGTTAAGTAACCTGCCCCAGGTCACACAGCTAGTAAGCCACGGAGCCGCAACGTGAACTGTGCCACAGGTGCTTGTGGATGCCTCAGAGAAACTGGTCACCATAGCAGTCCTGGCTGTCACCTCCCTTCTGTTCTGCCTTGTTCCCACTAGCTCCAGGAGGTTCTGAGCCATTGAGCTAACAGGAGGGCCTGCCCACCACCAGCCCTAGTGAAGTGGGCTCAGCCTCCAGGGGAACAGAGGCAGCCTTGTGGCAGGAGCTCCCCCAGCTCCCAGCACTGCCCCATCTCCTTGGCTGGGTCTGTTGCAACACCCTAGAGTAGCACATTCCATTCTCTGGCACAGCTGGGGGCTGGAGGTTCTGGATTCCCCTGGCCCCAGCAGAGCCTGCTGTCTGGGCTGGGACACTGGGTCCCAGCCACACACATTCCAGCAGCAACCACCCCCCACGTTGGATTTCCCAAGGAGTGAACTTTAGCCAGGATTACAGCCGACTAAACAGTTGTGGGATGTGAGCTTCCTTTGTGGGACCCGAGAGGCTGGACGCTGATGGGGCTGAGAGAGGAGGAGGGGCGAAGGGGTGGGCTGCCCTGGGATTTAGGAGAAAAGCCATGGTTCAAGGATGGCTCTTCTGCTGCTCTCAGGGCCCTTGGAGTGAGATCTGAGCAGGGTCCCCAGAAATCTTCCTGTGAGGCAGGGTAACAGACGCATGGCTGCTTGTACACGGATCCTGCCCACCTGTCCTCGGCTTTGCCCCCTGCAGGCAGTAGTACAGGGGTTAAGAGCATGGGGTCAAATCCTAACCACACCACTAAGTACAGCTGTGTGTCCTTTAATGAGTTCATTAACCTTTCTGAACCTCAGTCTCCTCACCATTAAAATGGGGATAATAATAGTACCTACCTCAGGAGGCTTAAATTAAAATGCCCAAGTGCTTGAATATTTATATATTAATGGGCTTGATATATACTGAATGCTACTATAGTATTATACGTCTTCTCTCCTCTATTGCCCTACATACTACCTGGGGATGTATTTTCTGATGCAAAACCACAAATGTGAATTCTCTCCACCTTCTGGAACTAACGGTTCTGGCCTTTAGATAAGATGTTCCTGTCTTTTCCTTGCCTTCCTGCCAGTAGCATTTCTTAGTTGATTAACAAATCAATTAGGAATTTAATAAGCACTTATTTTGTGCAGGCACTGTGCTAGGTCAAGGCCTTTGGTTAATAAAAATACTAATTACCATTTAATGAGCATCTTCTAAATGCTGGGCATTGTTTCCAGGTAGTTTTCATACATTTCCCTGCTTAACACTCAGCTGCCCTGTGAAGTAGACATGATCACTCCGTTTTCCAGCTGGGAAATGTCCCCAATGTTACATGGTCATTAAGTCACAGCACTGGAAACCAGAACTGGCCTCTTCTCGCCTGATCCTGAGTGTCAACGGGCCTACCCCAAAACCCTTCTGTTCTCTATCAGAACTCTCATTTTGCACCCAGCTGAAACACTTCCTCTGCTCCCTTGCAACTTGGGCTGGCCTTGTGACTTAGTTTTGGCTGGTGAGCGAGAAGTGGAAATCTACCAGGTGGGGCTTGTTGGGAAATTACTGTTTTCCTGATCAAAAGGGCCAGAGGCAGCTGACACGCCGCTGCTGCTCTTAGCCCTTTCCCGCCTTGCTCCCTGGAATGTGGCTGAGAAGTTGGGAGGAGGAGGCACCACCCACTGGCAGAGCAGTAAGGCAGAATGAGCCTGGGACACGGACCTCCCACCTCTGGACCTCTTGAGTGGGGAAGCCCCGCTGTTTCTGGAGGGTTCTGCTCCATGCGGTCAGATGCCAACATTCACTGGTACGCCGTGCAGATGCTCGCTGGGCACCACCAGCCGCCTGTCTCAGGCTGGCCAGGAGGGAGTGTTCTGTGGTTGAACTGAATGCAGGGAGCGCTCAGGCCTTGCAGGGCCTCCTTGGTCTTTGGTCCCAGGGAAGAGACTGCCGGGGGCTCTGACGGCAGGTGCCGGGGACAGAGCCAAGGTGCAGAGCAGGGCCTGACCCCTTTGTGGCGGTGGGTGAGGAGCGCCTTGCTGGGGCCTCGCAGGATGGGCTAAGGGAGCCCCTCCCCGCCCGCTCCCTCTCATGGGCTGCCAGCACCTGACAGAGGTCAGTATTGTGCTCCGGCCAGAAGCAGCCTGAGTCCTGTGTGTTCAGTGAAAAAAGAATCCCTGGTCCTGGTTGACCCTAGAAGGGCCCGTAAATATTTGGTCGGGGTAGGAGGCTGGGAGACAAGGGGCGGTTTCAGGGAGCCAGGTGGGCTGGGCAGGCTTTGGGCGAGGGTGGGAGGCAGCGGCTTCCTCAGAGGTGAGGAGAAACACGCAGGCCGCGGCCGCCCCTGACCTGTGTGGGGCACCTGACTGCCAGGGAGGTGATTTATGGGCAGGCTGTCAGACCACCTGTTAGCCCGCACTGGCCCCTTGTTTCTCTGTGGCAGCGCGCTCTGAGAGCTGCGGAAGCAAGCCAGTGTTTTCCTCACCTCAAGAGAACGTGGCTCCATTGTTTTGGAGGATCAGCAGGCCTTGACTGGACTTGGCATCCCAGCTGTACCCCAGTTGGTGAGGAAAGCCTTCTGGGGGTGTCCCCAGCCCCCTGCTCTGGGTACGTCTGCCCTGTCCCTCAGCATCTGCTGACGGTCCCCTCAGGACTCTTTCCGGGCACCACCCCTCCCAAGTTCTGGACGCGACTGACAGCAGCCTGTCGCCTCCGTTTCAAGCCTTCTCCCCTCGCTGCCCCATCCAGCTCAAGGTAGCAGTCTCCATCTGCACTGAGCTCGCTGAAGAAGCCCCCTGAGGCATTATAGCTGGTCCGCTCCCCGCATGCAGGACCAGGACCCTTCCAGCCTGAGGTAACCTCAGCCCCTCGCCCTCCTGCCTTAGCTGTCGGCTTATCCGGATGGAGGTTCTCAGCCCTGGCTGCACACCGCCCCCGTGGGCATCTAGAAATGCTGATTTTGGACCACCCTCCAGAGGTTCAGATTTAATTGATTTAGAGTAGAGCCCAGTAATTTGTGAAAGCTCCCTAGATGATTCGAAGGTTTATGTATTAAAATGCAGGTGTGGGGTGGGGCCTGAGCTTCTGTGGTTCTCACCAGCTCTGAGGTGATACTGATGCTGTGGTCCAGGGACCAGCTTGGAGTAGCACCTGTCCACACCATCATCTCCTACACGTCCAGTGCCCAGGGGTGTTTGAGCTCTAGGGGTAGGAGTGACACCTTTAGGCCTCTGGCTCTTCAGAGTAGTTCCCTGTGTCCCAGCCTTTTGGGGGCTCCTCAGAGCAGGCACTGCCCGTGTCAGGGAGATGCTGCAGGACTGTGGGAGCCTTCTGATGGTGGGAGAAGGCTGCGGAACTTGGCATCTCTGTCCTTGCTCTGAGACAAAAGGACAGTCATCTCCATCGCTCAGTTAGTCTTGTCGTGAGGATGAGAAGGGTGACCCTCTCTATGTGTTCTTGGGGGATCCTGCGAAAACATGGGAATTGCTCTTTTTAGGCATTCCAAGTATGTCTGTGTGGACAGGCCGTGGGTTACAAAAAGGCCTCTTTCGCGAAGTCGTTTCTGAGCACCCCACCGAGGAACCAGCTGATAAAGAAATCACCTGGTTAAAGCCAGTTTGTTTTCTTTGATTTAATTAAAAACTTAAAAAAAAAAAAATAGAAAACCAAACCCTACCTGCATCAGTCTAGTATCTATGGCCTCGCAGCAGTAGCAGTAATTTACTGGTCATCAGGATAAAAGGGACATGCGGAGGCTGAGGAGTGCGCTTCTGGGAGCGGGGCCGGGCTGGGCTTCTCTCAGGTCCAGCGGGAAGGGAAACAGGCAGAGACGGGGAAGGTGGGGAGGCATGGCTGGAGGGCACTGTGACCCTTTCCTTTCAGGGGGGCTACAATGAGGACACGTGAGGGGGCCCTGGGGGCCAAGAACTGTCCCTCAAGTAGCTCAGCCTAATACCAGGACTTCCCTCTCCCAGGCGAGGCCCCACCGCCAACAGAGGGGAGCTGACACCACCGGCTATCCTGGAAACCACCTCTTCAGGCTGCTTAGAGCTCTCTCTTCTCTCTGCCTACTTTCTCCCAACTGAGAAACTTCTGCTCCTATGGGAGGAAACCTTCAAGGACCCCAGAACCCCTCGGTCAAGGACAGCCTGGCTCCATGTCCATCCCTTAGTGCCTGTGCTGGTAGCAGCTTTGCACGAACCACCCTCCGGCAGGGGCTGGGTCAGCCTGGGAGTAGGGGGAGGCCAGGTGGGCAGGAGGAGAGAGTGCGCCCCAGGGGCGGAGACAGAAGACAAGGCACAGCTGGCTGGGTGGGGCAGGGAGGAGTGCCCTTCAGTGGGGCTCCGCGGCCCCATAGAAGAAGGGGTAGTAGAGGGAGCAGGGGTAGGAGAACATGAACTTGACCGCGAACTTCATCTCCTTGTTCTTCTTGTCCCAGCGGTAGACAGCCGTGAGCAGCAGCTGTCCGTCCACTTTGCGGCCCATGACCAGGAAGCTGCCGGCCAGGCTCTCCAGCTGCGGGCAGGGGCAGCCAGCACCGTTCTTCATGTGCAGCACCAGCCTCTTGGTGTCCTTGCGCTTCAGGGGGCCCGGCTTGAGCAGCTTCTTCTTTTTCTGGGCTCCAATCAGCTTCCGGTCTGCATTCTCTATCTTGATCTCTCTGATGCGCATTTTGACCACTGTGTGTCGGGGTGGACAGAGGGATGGCCTGAGAACCGTCACGTGTGCTCAGGACGCTGGTGGCCCCATGCTTGATGCTCTGCCTGAAGCTCCAGGCCTGGGGCTTGGGGAGATGGAGCTTCTGCGTGTACACGCTGACATTTATGAAGCTCCCATCATGTGCTGGACTCGCACGGGCATTATTATGTTTCATCCTTGTGGCATGGTGGGGAAATGAGGTTTGGAGAGGTGGTGATGTGCCTGAATTCTAGAGCCTGGGTTGAACTGAGGTCTGGCCTGTGCCTTTCCATGACACCAGGTGCAGGGTGGAGAGCTCTCCGTGGGGAGTGGAGCTGGGTGTGGGCTCCCTGGGGAAGGGAAATATTGGGGGTGGAGCTGACCAGTTGGGGGGAGGGTTTGGTGGAGGGGGCGTCCTTGTGATGGAGGAAGGCTGGATTTCATGATCTCTGGGGATGCTTCCAAACGGGATTTCTGGCTGTGTGTGTGTGTGTGTGTGTGTGTGTGTGTTGCAGGGGGTGGTGTTTGGAGCAGTGGTGGCTCTAAATGCTAGAAAGCCAGCTCTGCCGGCAGAGGGGGGGGGCCCTTCTCTGTCGCACGTGCTGATTTTCATGGGTAAGTGCTCCCACCGTGACCCACTGAGTCACGGAGCACAGGGTTGGGAAGCACTGCATACAACCAGCTCTTGCTGGGCGAACCCACTGCTGTAATCTGTGTGCGACTGTGTAGTGTGGGTGGGAGTGTGGAGTGTGGTGCTGTGTGTTTTTGTGTGTGAGAGAATGTCTGCGGTGTGTGTAGGAGTGTGAGTGTGTGGGGTAGTGGAGGAGGTGGTTGAAGGCCAGAGAGCCTAATGGAGTTGGCGGCGGTCACTTAGGCCAGCGTCCTCTTTCTGCGGGCCTCTGGGTCCCCATCTCTGGGAGCAGCCAGGGAGAAGCCAGAGAATAACTTTGGCTGCCCAGGGAAGGACAGTGTTATAAAATCTCTTTCCTTCTCCCCCACCCCCTCTTTCTCTCTCGGGCACGCACACACCTTCCAGTAGTAGTGTCCTCTTTCCAAACAGACTAACGACATCAAAGACGTGCTGCAGGAAGGATTTCATTGCTTTCTCTTTTTCATAGACAGAGGAGGCTAAGACACAAAAGGGGAGTCGACCTGGCCAAGACCACATGCTGGGCTGCGTGGTCCGCACAGGAGCCAAGTCCTGACTGCCCCAGGAATGGGGAGGCTCCAGGATGAAGCTGTGGGACGGGTGACCACAGCTCCCCTGGCCAGAGGTGCATCAGGTACTAGGCAGAGGTGCCCAGGGACGAGGGGCTGCACTTCCATCCTGGAGCCCATCTGTCCCCTCTGCTGCCTCCATCCATCTCTGGGCCAAGCCTGCTTCCCCTAAAGAGAATCCAGCCCTGGAGGCCCCTCTGTAGAGAGTGTCAAGGGAGGGCTGCCGGAGCCCTGGCCAGGGATGGACCATGGCCTTGAGGGGGTTTTGAAGTCCCTGGGAGGACCTGCAAAAAAGAGGTACGTTTCTCTGGGGAGAGGGCAGTGGCCACGTGGGCTCTACACTCACCGAAGTCGCTGGAACACATCTGCTCCATGAGGCCATCAGCGCTGTGCTCCATCTCACACTGGGCGCAGATCTTGGTCACTGAAGAGAGAAGCAGGGGTGGGGAGAGGGGATCAGAGTCCATAGAGCCACTTAGGGTTCAGGCTCCCCCACTGACCAGCCACCTCCCCCTGCCAAGCCTCCACTTCCTCATCAGGAAACAGGATGATGATAATGATAATGCTCACTGAGTGGTTGTGAAGTTCAAAAGGTCGTGAAGGGACAAAACTGACCAGGTGGGCACGATTGCCCCATGACCCTGGCAGCTGCGACCATGATGTGCACTGTCTTTTTCTAAATTTTGTCTCATTTAGTCCTCAGCCTATGAAGTAGGTATCATTATTCCCCCTTTTTTTTTTTTTTTGCGGTATGCGGGCCTCTCACCGTTGTGGCCTCTCCCACTGCGGAGCACAGGCTCCGGACGCGCAGGCTCAGCGGCCATGGCTCACGGGCCTAGCTGCTCCGCAGCATGTGGGATCTTCCCAGAGCGGGGCACGAACCCATGTCCCCTGCATCGGCAGGCAGACTCTCAACCACTGCGCCACCAGGGAAGCCCCATTATTCCTCTTTTAAAGAAAAGGAAACCGAGGTCCAGAGTGGCTACCCAAGTCTGCAAAGCTAGTGAGAACTGAGCTTAGAACTCAGGATTTGTAACTCCTAGACTAGTGCTAGGGTGGAGATGTTTGTGGGGTCTTTCTAGGAACCCAGGCTCCAGACAGGTGGGTAAATGAGTGACGCCGGCAGGGCAGGGACTGTGGTAAGCTGAGGAGCACCCAGTTTAGCGTTACCAGAACTTCCGATTTTTCAAGGGAAGCCAAAACTCTTTTTGTATGAAATATTCTCAGTTTTGTCTGTTGGCCACACAGATACGTCGGGCTGCCTCTGGTCCTACCACACAGCATCTGACCTCGCTCTGTGTCTCTGCCTTTTGGTGGGTGCCCCATCATGGGGGAGAGAGGGGCTCAAAGCAGGTGAGAGTGGGAGGGCAGAGCCAGGTGGGAATCCTAGCCTGGGATTTCCCTGCTTTCCAGGATGTTAATGTTCGGGCTCCAAGAAAACCAGAATAAAGGAGCCAAGCCTAGGATCCCTGCTGGAGACTATGCTGTCTCTGCTTGAGCTGGGTCTTTCTCCCCTGCTTCCTGGTCCCATTACTAACCTGAGAATAGGGGGTTTCTCTTCTCTCAACACTCTTTGGTCACAGGACCCCCACCCAGCCACAACTCTCAGATCCTGTGTGGGTGTGTAGGACTGGGGACTGCATGGGTGAGGTTAGCTTTGAGGGGTGGGTGGGGTGTGGTGGAGTCCAGTTGCTTCTGGGGGGCCGGGTCAAATGGAAAATGAGGGAGTGGTGCTGCCCCTTGGGAGAGTCCCAGAGCCATGGGCTCCCTAGATTCTGGGTATTAGCCACCCAGGCAAAGCTGCCCTGCTTGGTGCCACTGTTTATCCTCCTGTCTGGTGCCCAGCCTGGGCTTACTCCGCCTGGATGGAGTCTGGCAGAGGGGGTGCACAGTGAAGGGGAGGCTGAGACCAGAGAGGAATTAGGGGTAATGGGATTGGGGGTGGGTGGGAGGGGGCACTTAGGATCTCATAAATTTTGGGAACCTGGGATTGCTTCCTATTTTACAGATGAGGAAACCAAGGCTCAAAGTTGAGCAACTTGCCCAAGGGCTCCTTGTCAGGGGCCAAGCCTGCCAATCTGCTCACTCTTCTGCACTGAGCCTTACCCAAAGGTCTCCCAACCTGGGGG